ATAAACAAAACATTCAAATTAACTAGTTTATGGAATACACATAATTACTCATTTTATATTTCTGAATAAAACTCCTTTAAGTATCATTCTTCACCATCAATCTAGTTGAACTAATAAAAGTTCACAGCTCAAAACTGCAGTCCCTAATTGTTGAAAAATAGTCTATGAAAACATGCTTTCATGATTCTTTGGGGTGAATTTATCTTTTGTAGATGCATGGTAGTAAACCAAACACTTTCTGGTTCAACAAGTTTTTGGATTTCTTTGTATGAATAAAATACACAAACTTCCCAATAAAAGAAGTGTCAATCACTATAAGAATATCTATCTATCCAGCAGCTAATTTGTGTCTATAAAATGTAATCTTAAAAGCTTATTTGCAAAATTTTTTCCATGCAGTGAAATTTTTGTATCATATACCTTAAACCTACAAAATATAATAAAATACCTTTTATTTAATTTTAGTCTCATTTAAAAGTTTTCAACTTGTATAATTGTTTGTATTAAGTTATAACAAACAAATAATTTTACAACTTCTCAAAGACTACTGAAAGGCAATAACTATGTTTCTCACCTAGCAGCATCTGGATAGTTTTGAACTAGTTTAGATAATGCAACTAAAACCAGTTCATTTTTTCTAATTAATTCAGAATTATTTCTATCAATGCTATCTTGACATCGTACTAATAGGTCCAAAAGGAAAAAATGAAACATATGAGCAACAGTTTCTGTAGTCTTCCCATGCAATAATAGCTTTGACAGTTGGTTTAGAATCTCTTGCCTGTCGTTTGGACTCCATACCTGGAAAGAAAAAAGAAAACTTAGCAAGCTTCTAAACTTTAAATACTAAAACATTTCTGTACAGGAAGAGCCTTGGATTTTATTGTCCGATTCTTTAAACCAATTACATTTACTTTTGAGCCTAGAAAACACAGAGTAATGGATTATTTGTAATTCTATTACACAACAGGTGAAGGCACAATTACATATATTACTTGTCACATAACAAGAGATCAAAACAAGTATTGATGACTTCTTGAAATATAAGGTGTGGGTTTAGTATTTGCTTTCTCTGGGGGGGGGGGGGGGATAAATTGTAAGGATAGCTTTAAGGGATCAACCTGTCTCTTTTTGTCTGCATATTATTTCATTATTTGATGAAATAAACAAAATGTCAGGTAGTCAACATAGCTTTACAAAAGAAAGATCTTAATTTGCAGATGTAACATTTTTTAGATGGATGAAGGTGAAGTAAGATTGATTTACCTGGATTTTCAAATATTTTTCATATGGTGCTGCATATAAAATTGTTGAAAAAATATCTCAATTGAAGTAGGTGATAAATTAGTTAAATGAAATGATGACCAGCTAGGTACAATGAAACAAAGTTCTTATTACAGTACAGTCTAATTGGACTAATGTTATAAACGGTGTGTTTTAGGGATCTGTGCTGGGTATGTTACTGTTACTCATTTACATTAATGACATTGACTGAGAGTTGCTTAAATTTGCTCAACATTGACTACAAGTCTAGGCAGGCATTAGTTTCATTGTACAAGTTACTAGAATATTGTGCATAATTTTAGAGCCTGTATTTTACAAAGAACATTTAGTTGTTGGATGGGGTTAAATGGAGAGATGATTTCAGAAATATCTGGAGTGCCATATAAGGATAGATTGGCATCTCTTAATTTGTTCTCTCTTGAAAAAAGGATCAGGTGTGGGTATGCAAGAACAGCCTTGGAGGTGCAAATGGTTCTTTTTTTTATATGTTATATAACTGAAATATTCAAAATTATTAAGGGAATTTTTAAGATGAATGCATCAGACTTTTCTAAGTTGAATTCTAATGATAGTAGGACAAGAAATTATTAATTTAACATTTGGAAAAGGTGGCATAACACTGAGATAACAATGAACAATTTGGTCTTTTAAGACTGTCCTTGCACACCTGCTCTTGAGAAAAGTAAACATTTAAACCCACAATTGAGGCAGTTCCATTTTTCCAACAAGGTTGAGACCTGTAAAACAAACTGTCATCTATAGTAGAGGATATAACTTTGCATAAGTGTAAGGAAAAAAAATTATATTTGAAGGATCATGGTACATTTAGTGATAAGTTTTCTGTCTGATGAAGAAGGTTAGGAGTCAGGACAAATTTAATGGCCCAAAAGCCCACTTGGTCATGTCAAATAAATCTTTATAAATTTGAGAAAGATTTATCATTTTCCAAATCTCCAACATTTAAGATAAGTAGAAATACTTTTCAACATTTCCAATGGAACAATATAAGTTTCCAATAAGATAAGTCCATAACTGGATTTTCACTGCACTTAACCTTACAGGCGGCCAAAAACCTAATTAATAGTTAGATGAAGGAGGACATTAAAGAGAAGAAATCAGAGTAAATTGGTATAATGGAAAAACAAGAACAAAATTGATTAATAGGCATTTTGCCAATTGGAAGAATGTAACTTATGAGGTACCTCAGGAATCTGTTTAATGGCACTTATTGGTCATTATTTAGTGCAAACATTTCGATAACTTTTCCTAGTTCATTGATGGTAATATTAAATTATGAAAAAAAAAACTGAATGCATTGAGAATGTTACTTTTATTCAAAAGAACCTTAATAGTCTTAGAGACTAAGCAAGAATATGGAAAATGAGTTTCAATATATAAAAGTAAATTATGTGCTTAGGATATTGAAAGTGCAAAAGGACTTGCTGTGTGTATGAAAGCAGCACTAGTGTTGCAGAAAAAACAAATAATTTACTATAGGTATATTTTTTTGATAAAGCTCTGAAGCATTCTGCTGAGTGTTTAACTCTGGTGAAAAGAGCAAATAGTTTTTTGTTTTTTTTTCAGAATTTTTAAATTTAAGAATGATAGGATTATTTTAACCTTGCTTAAGAGTCTGATGACACTTAATTTAAGGTATGGTACAAAGTTAGAGTCTCCTTACTATAGAAAGTGCAACATACTGGAAAGATGCACAAATGGGGGTACTTGGTTTAAGAAACTTGTAATAAAAGGAAAGGACTTGTTTTCTCCAGAGCATACAAAAATCAAAGTTGAATTAATTCAGTGTTCAAGTTGTTACTATTTCCACAGTCTTCCAATGGGTGGTCTGTTTAAGTCATAGCAAATGAAAATTTAAAGTATGAATTTAAATAGTAGGAATGATAGGTTTAAAATCTGATGGCCTCAAAGCAGACTACAGACATATTTAAAAATGCATGGGTTGCATTAAATAGGTCACTAATTAGGCCTTATATACAGTAGTGTATCCAGTTTTAGTTCCTTTATCTTAAGAAGGACAATGAATTGTCGAAGAGATTCAGAAGATCACCAGGTGATCTTGGATATGAATGGGTTATTATATGAGAATAAGCTGAGATCTCTTAACTTGCTTTCTCTTAAAAGAAAAGGATCAAGAGTTATCTGTTTGAAGTATTCACACATCATATTTTTTCATGTTGAATTCTTAGGGCACTACTTGAAAAGAGCAGACATGTCCAGTAAATTATAATGTACATTCTTTGATAAAAACTACTTTTCCATAAATGTAAATTCTCCGGCATACAGTGTGTAGTTTGAAACATTGTAAACTTTTGTTGAATAGGTACAGAGATATGGAAAACTTTTTAAAATTTCTTTTTGATGCTTCAATTCTTTGATTTTGAGAAAAAAAAGGAATCTGGATGAAGTTAATGACTTTGACTAAAACTATCATAACATACTGATAACAAGGGATGATCTTGTCCTTCAAGGCTGATCCTGTTTATCTACACTCATAATAAAAGAAAACTATACACTAAGCCCATCTTTTCTCTTTCAGGAATATCACAGACATCCCTTCCTAAATTCTTAACTGATATCTATTCCATTTTAAGGATTTTAGGCTTGTGTCCTCTTCTGAATACACTACAGAAATCCAAATCCTTTATTCTATATCTATAGTTTTCAGAACTCCAATATTTAGGCCATGAGACAAGATTTATCATTTGTGAATTGCTGTAATAAGATAAATTGATTGTTTGGGATATATCTTAAAAATTAATTGCCTTTAATTCAAGACAGACATTTTCCTAAAAAGAGAAAGAGGATAACAAGAAAGATCAAACCTAACTGGCTAACTACGGACGTAAAGGAAGAAATCAGATACATACCTGAAGTAAGAAGTTTAAATTGGCAGATACTTAGATAGAAGATTTACGAAAGGAAGCTAGGAATTTGGTTAAAAAATAAATAAAGAAATCAATAAATGTTTATGACAAAACAGTTGACTGATAATGTTAAAGTCATTTACATATCAGAATTAGGGTAAGGTTTTTAATAACACATTATTATTTCATTTAATTTTTTTTTCTTACTATCACACAGAAGAACCGGTGAACCATCATTGCTGAAGGTAAGCAGAATGTTAAAATGGGGAATAGATTTTCAAAAGATGCTGATGGCAAGTTTTTTATTGAAGGTTATTATGAGATGGCTGAGGTTTTAAATATTTTTTTTCTTTTGATTTTACAAGAGTGGATGTGAGCAACACTACTGATCCTAAGCATTCTTTGGGTAACGCTGGAGTTAATCTGAATTATGCAGATATTAATTACCTAGTGGTAAATAAAAAGAGGGGATAAATAAAAAGTTAGAGGAGATCTGATTGAGATGTTTAAAATTTTTAAGGGAATTGATGGTATCGATGCATTGCCTTTCTACCTATTTAATGGTAAGAATGATAGGACAAAGAAGAGAGAAAGTTTGGCAAGGTATGAGTCATGTTCATGTAAGACAGTTTTATTTTTCAAGCAGGGTGGCTCACCAAGAGGTAGGGGAGCCCAATTCCCCCTGAAAAAATCTAGGCATATTGATCACATATTATCTTTCATTTTTGATATATAATAAACTTGTTTTGTATCATTTAATAAAAAAGTAAATAAAATTTCTATAAACACTATTACATTTGATTTGTTGTAATGACCATTTTATTAAACATTTAGATCAATTTCAGCTTTTTGATTTATTGGCCCCCCCCTAAGTGGAAACCTGGCTATGCCATTGGGTGACTGTAGTAAATTTAAGGAAGTTTATGTTAAGGTTTGTTAAACATTTAATTAAAAGCCAGCTTTGAATTACTTTTAATAGTTTAGTTTGGTGGGTGGACAGCCTAGATAGGCCAACAGGTCACTTGCTGTCCTTAAGTTTTATGTTACGTATTTGTAGACTACACATTTACATTAGTCTAATTACTAATTAGTAACTACACTTATTTTTGTTAACTAATTATAATCAATCAAGCATATATGCATTATACACCTATCAAGAAGGCCTGGGATTGAATACCTACCACTAGCAACATAGAAACTAGTCCTTCTCGGGCTTTTCTAAAGATAGTTGCAGATTTTCAGCCCAAACATAAGATAAAACTAGTTAGTAATGACAATGAAAATGTCACAGCCTCAACTGTTATTATAATACTATACCAGCTCATTCTCATCAAGACAAACACATATTTTGCCAATGTATATCAAAATGGCTTAAGGAGAACCTATGTATTTGTATGCTGCTCTCACAAGTTACAAATGAGCACGACATGCATACAATGTTAAATAAACAGAAGCACAGGCCACTGGATAGTTGGTAATTAGAACTGCATTTCAATTTCAAAGAAAATCTAAATAAAAATAAATGTATGAATGATCCCAACACAAGTGTCATTAATAACAAAACTTTCAGTTTCAATAGGAGAATGTAAACACAAAACTATGACAAATACATATTAATGTATTATATAAAAAAGCCATGAAAAGTGTTACTGTTAGTTATGGCTATGTCCAGCATAACCACCAAAATCACCATTGCAACAAAAGTTACAAAGTACAAATTATAATTTCGAAATGCAAGATTATCTCTTAACTATAGTCTTACTACTAGTATTATATTGGTGATGCTTGTGAATTGTGAATAATTAAATCGACAACTCTGAATTGTCTGTTGTCAAATATCCGTTTCAGTTTTTTTATGTTGGTTACCTACCTGTTTGGATAGACATGTTACAACTTTTTCAGTTTCAGTTCCAGCATTAGAATTAGCTTCAAACATGCGACAGAGCTCGTTCAATCTAGTACAAATGTTGATACCTTCCATATCTGTTTTATACATACAGAGCAGCAAATAAGAGCACGTTAATAATTACGAATACACCTTTCACGATATTTTTTTATAAAAAATTAACTACAAGTTGTGACAACTTACACCACAATGAAACGCACGTGTTAACATTCTATAGATGGCGCATTACACGTTTCCTTCTTCGTTTTTATCTTTAATGATAAATAATTTCAACTTATAATTCATGAGGTAGATATTATAAAATTGTATGCAAAACTTAAAGCTATAAAAAAAGAATAATTACTAAATCAATTCATTAAAGAGATAACAATATACGTAACTTAAATATATTTTTATTCTTAAATGACTGGCTGTCCAAAAATAAAGTAATGAAATTTTAAACTATCCCTCTATCATTACAAATAACATAAGATCGCAGAAATAATAGAAAACCGCACCGCGGCAAGTCTGGAGGCTTATACTGCTAAAAATCGGGTTTCAATACCCGTGATTGGCAAACGCAAATAGCCAAATTTGTATCTTTGTACTTAACAACAAACAAAGAAAAGAAAATTGAAACGGTAGAGAGCCATTAGACTCATTTAGAACTCTCTTAGAATGATTCCAGCATGATCAAGGATATGTAAAAAGCAACCCTTACATTTTTGGAAAATCATTATGCGGAGGTGAAGAGTTCACTCATGTTGCAATTGCTCTTGATCCAAGATTCAAAACTGATTTCGTGAAAGAAGCAGAATACAAGGGCTTGCTTGAGAAAGCTCTGCCAACTGCTGTCAAAGCTCTTATTAAAGAAAATCCAAAAGTAAGAATAAGCACTACATGAACTTTTAGGTCAGATATTCAAGAAAAAGTCAGATGCTGTTGAAAAGAGTGTACATGACTTATGCAGCGATAAAATTGAGAGGCTTAAGAGTGAATTGACAATTTATATGAAACTCTCTCTTCTTGCTTGGAGGAGTTTAATGTATACAAATTTCCTCATATATCTGAAGTTGCCAGGCATTTTTTTTGCCTCCCTGGCGACTTTAGTACCTTTAGAAAGGGTGTTTTCAACTGCTGCTGACTCAGTTTCAGCCAAAGAAGCTATGCTAAAACCAATATATGCTGACACGCTATTTTTTCTGAAAAAATGCTTAAAAGGTTTGCCTTATCTCTGAGACTCATTGCGCGACTTAAATTTTTTTTGGTACTGTTGGCGCTTTTTTAAGAACTAAATCTAAACACAAGCATTTTTTTCTATCTGATTTTAAATCCCACGTGTTTTTTTTTGTTGTTTTTTATGTTAATAGCCAAGTAAACGCCCCCTTTTTACCTGCATTCAAGACATTTGAAATTGAAAAATTTAAATTTAAAAAGATTTCAGTTTGTTTGTTTAAAGTTAAGCACAAAGTTGCACAATAGGCTATCTGTGCTCTGTCCAGCACAGGTATCGAAACCCGATTTCTAGCGTTATAATTTCCTTTAAATTGAAATTTTATTTTCATTGATATATTTCAAACAAGTAACTTTGAAACTCCCTGTAATAATTGACCATGGTGATTCATAATCTATTTCGGTCATTTTTATGTTTCTGGTTATAAAAAAAGAATAATTTTTCACTATATTTTCAAAATTGTTTCGTTTAGAGATAATGATGATTACAAATGTTTTAATTATTCATTTGAAATAAGCTGTCTCATGAGCAAATATGTGATTTTGCGTATTTTATCTATACTGATTATGTGCAGTAATCCTAAGTTTGTTGAATTAATAAATATTAAAACTTTTCTATTTGTTCAAGCTTTTATTGGAGTAAATAAATTTCATTTATATTGATGCTACATTAATTAAAATGATAAAAGACATAGTAAATGTAGAATTAAAGAAAAACAAATGTGGAGAAAATTTTGTCGTGATGTGTATTGTATCTCCTCCCTGTATTGTGTCACTTAGGTACTTGTATCGTGACACCTATAAATCCTAAATAGTTATCGCGATTGTTGCCGGCCATGCCGCCAGAGGACGACACGCGTATATCGACCTCAGGCAATGAGAGAAACGATGACTTAGTAGTTCCACGAAGTGTCACCAGACGGCGCATTGCTAGGCCGCCATGACAACAGAACATCAGAGACGATAACGTCATAATTCCACGAAGTGGAACCACAATCATCTCTCAAAGTGTCCTAACACCTAACCAATGACTAGATTTAATTACTTACAAGTAAAATAAGTATTGCAACACTGTTACACATGTCAGTTTTATCACACATCACTTGAACAAGACAAATATTATAGCCAATAATTTAATTTACATACTTTTACAATTATCCGTCGCTTTATGTATAAAACATTTCACTAATTCATTATTTCTATATTTAATCATGCTTTTTGCATTTCCTGGCATTTTTCATTTCTATAACTAATATCTATTCATTCTGAAAAGACGCAAACTAATAATTTATTCGAACATTGGTTTTACAGTTTTGCTTTATAAATAAAACATTAAATGCGATTTACAAAGGCAGACAATGTTACTAAGAATAGTGTTTCTATAAGCAAAGGATGATAAGCTCATCCTGTGGTGTCTCAATATCTAGATTTAATTATGTTACTAGTAAAACCATTATTTTAACGACAATCTTACTGTTTCATTAGTTTAGCTTTATGTTATCTGTATAACTATGATTGTTATTGTTCTTGACAAAATATTTCATTTTACTCATGTTACTTTCTAGTTTTAACTTACATAAGTTTTACAAAGGCAAGTGATGTTTCTATAGGTGTATATTGTTACTATAGGCAGATTGTCTTAATAGGTATATTGCACGTGCCTTAAAAAGGCGGATGCTATTATTAAGATTATATATATGCATTGTGTTATTAAGGGCAATTTGATTTTAAACATCTAGATTTAATTATGACACGTTTCACTTACAAAAGTTTACAGTGTTTCTATGGGCCGAAAATGCTGTCATTACTTTAGGCATACAGTATTCTGTAGGATTTTAAAACACCTGCCATTTCGCTTTCACAAGTCAACGAGACAATTATTATAACACATATCAGTGTTTTTTTTTATCTATCGTTTAATAATCTACTTTACATACTTTTATCTTCCTGAAAAGGATGTATATTTAATTCTCTATATAATTTAACATACAGTTTCACTTTATAAGTATATATTCACATATAACGCATATTATAATGTCTGGTGTAAGTCATATTCTTAATTTAATCCTCTGAAGTATGATTTTGCTCATATCATTTTGCTACAACTAAGTATAATAAATGAATAACTTACTGTTTAATTTTACTATTATAGAATCTATTTAAAATAGCAACACGTACCATTCACTTGAAGTTCTCTACAATTATAATTCATAAAACTTGTGTTTTTACTTTCTTCTTTAATAATCACATATAATACACGTTATAATGTCTGGCATAAATCATATTCTTATGTTAATCCTCTAAAGCAGGGATTCTCAAAGTTTGGTATGCGTACCATTGGTGGTACGTGGAGCTAATGTCGGTGGTACACAACAAAATTAATATAAAAAAATCATACAATTTGTAATAATCCCTATCTGAGCTTTCCACGCACATATACATACTTCTTCATCACTTATAGACTCACACTCTACCTGCATAAACTCACCAGTATTTTCTTCCCTTAAAATGGACAGAAATGGTAACACACTGTTTTTTAAACCATTAAACTTTTGGAAACTAACCCCAGAAACAGATACAAGAGACGTTGTCTGAGTTGTTAGTTTATAAACACATGTTACTTCTCAGTTAAAACACAATACTAAAAATCAAACCCAGAAATACATTATAGAACAGTAGTCACTAAATTAGGAAGCACTCTGTAGTTCCTTTGATAAAGCAGGTCCTGATTTCTTACTAATCTGGTGTAAACTGCAGATTTAACTTTGTCTTTATAGATAATAATGAAAACGATAATGTCACATATAAAACGCTTGCGGTCACCGATATTAAAGCCCCCCACTGGCTCATCGGCTTGTCTGAAAGTTTATAATGCTATAAATCAGGTTTCGATACCGTGGCGGGCAGATTGTGTAACTTTGTATTTCATTATAAACAAACAAAAAACCGATACCAAAAAAGGTGACCTCTTTGCTGAGTATTTCGAAAATCCCTTCACTACTCCTAAGTTCAAAACATTTGATAATTGCAATTATGATTTAGTTAACAATCATGTAACCACCATCCACTCAAATAACAACCCAAACTTTCCTGCAACAATATCCGACTAACTCTTTAATCTTCCTTACTAAAATATAAAAAACCTATTACTATTTTATGTATCAAAATATTGTTGTAACGTATTTTATCATTGAAAAAGTTCTTTTGAATTATTTGTAAAAAATATGCTGACTGATTAACTTGATAGACCACAACCACTGAACATAAGCGATCAATCACTAAGACTTTTGTATAACCATTCACTTTTCAAATGAATGTTTCACTGAATTCTAAATCACTTAACTGAATAGCAAATACTAAGTGGTATTTGTAACTAATGTTTCTATCTAGATCCTAACCTCATACGCTCTCTTAGCTAGCATCAAAATTAAAACAACGAAAATGTATCTTATAACAATATGTATCACGTGTTTAAAACATTCAGCTCATGTTGAAAACCGAATTAGCAACCCCATTACTACAAATGAGCCCGACCTTCTTATCGCTCACCTCTATAAGTTATTTAACTTATCTCTCCTTTCTGGCTGTTATGCATCTCAGTGAAAATCCGCTATTATAACAATCATTCCTAAGAAAAGGCCCAAATAATGAAATCCAGGCGACTTTCATCCCATCAGTTTACTAAATTGTATAGGTAAACTCTATAAAAATTGATCTCCTGAAGCCTGCAATTGTATCTAGAACACAACAACCTAATCTCAAACATTCAAAACGTTGCTAATCTCTAATTTAACAGTGAAAAACTAGAGGTAAGGCAGCTAATAATCACCACCCACCAAATCTTGGACTACTCTTTTACCAATGAATAATGGGATTGACTGTCATTTATAGTGCCCCATGGTAGAAAGAGCAAGCATGTTTGGTAGGACAGGGTTTTGAACAGCAACCCTCAGATTGCAAGTCAAGTGCCCTAACCACCTGGTCATGCTGGGTCCCTATATATATAATCTGATTATTCATTGGAAACGTGTTTTTGTTGCAACATTCTGTGAACTTAAAGATAAACCCTGAGATTCACAGTCTGAGCAGACACTAATCATTGTGTCAGGCCTGGCCAATTTGATTCTGATAGAAATGTTTTAACTTGATGTAAGTGCATGGTTACTTCACTTTTCTAGAATGTTTCTTGTAAAGTCAAGTATGATAAACCTGCATAAGGTTTTAATTCTTTAAAGACTTTTGTTTAGCCGAGTATAGCCCAATGGTTAGTGTACAGGACTATGGATCTGCTTTTCCATCGTTCATGTTCCATTAACGTAATAATAATAATAATCGCACTCTACACTTTAGGGCTACGGGCGAGTTATAAGGCCATGATCAAATCTCACTTTTGGTCAAACAAGAGTAGCACAAGAGTCAGCAGCGAATGTTGTTGACTAGCTACCTTCCCTCTAGTCTATCAATTCGAAAGTAAGAACAGCTAATAACGATTACAGTCTGTTAATAAAATGATATTGGATAAAAACGCATTTTGATTAGTTTGATTATAGTTAAATATTACTTCAAAAAGTTTCAAGTATTTGAATATTTCTATCTGTGTTATTTACTTGGTGGTGCTTAACTCTAAAATTACGCACTCCTTCCTATACCTTCCATTACCTGTTGGGTCAACATATTGCATCCTATTCGGTAATTTTATGTTTTTGACATTTACAATAATTAGTGTAAAGAACTAATTACTGACCTAAAACTTTGGGAGGAATCACTGTTTTGTTTGCCTAAAATACGTAGCGAATCCCAGCAGCAATAATGGGATTAGCTGCAATACTGATAGTGTTTTTGCTTACATTTTTTTGTGTGATTTATATTGTATTAAACACTCTGTAAACAGAGCCGGATTAAGGTTTAGTGGGTCCTGAGGCCCAGGTAATATTTGGGAATAATAATAATGATAATAACCCACTCTTGCTTCTATTCTGCTAGTTTTATGAACCATAATTTTTTACTTGGGTGGTTGGCGAGTCCCTAGGCCTGGGCCTAGGTGGCCTATGCATTAATCCGGTACTGCCTGTAACCAACACATTTATGAACCTTCGAGCAAGTTTGTGCATAAATAATTGAGAAAATGTGTTTTCAAACCAGCAGTTATATTGTTTAAACTTATAGACTATGAGGTACCTCGGAGTGATAAAGGATAAATCTATTTTTTTGTATTTCAACTGTGCTTTGTACATTCTATTGGAAGTTTGTTACCTGAATTTTTTCTTATTCTATTCGGTTGAAACGTAGTACTATTGGATAAGTGTTTGTTAAACAACAATCGAAACTATATTAACCTTGGTTTTATATGTTTTTACGGGAGCGTGATAAAATAATGAAAGTCGAAATACCAAGGATTTGTTTGTTTGCCATACAATTGGCTATCTCAGTATCTGTACTATACCCACCACGGGTCAGACAAAGGGGTCGATTACAAGTGTGGGATTACGAGTAGAAGTACGATTACAACATGATTGCAAGATGTAATTACGATTACAATTACACTCCAAAATTCTAGATTACGATTGCAATTATGAATACTTGGCTATAATTACGATTACATTTTTAAGGGAAAAAGAAGAAAATCAAAGATTAAAAACAAACTCTTTATTTTTCATCAAACTCATAAATAGGTTAACAAGTTCATTACATATCACTCAAGTGATCAAAAAACAAAGTTTAAATCTGAATTTTTATTCCCAAAATTTTTAAAGTCAACTGTTACACCAATTAAATATCAGTTGTTCAAGTCGATAGTCTGTCCAGTTGCATCTTTTTGGTTTGAAGACTTTGCCTGCAATCGAGAAAAGACTTTCAACAGGGGCGCTAGAGGCTGGAACCTGAAGGCTTAAGCAGGCGTCTTTTCAAAACTTCATTATTGTGGTGATCTGCTTGCTCTTTCCAAAATGCTAATGGATTAGCTTCCTAGGGCAAACATGTTATACTGAAATATCCTAAAACTTTGGTTTCAATGTCTGGCCTTGGTCTTGTTCTGTAGTTGTTGTCCCACTCTCTGACACCAATTTGTTACGTCTCTGGTTGTTAGTTAATTTTCCGTAAAAATTCTTTCCTATGAAACTTTAGCGACACAAGTCCTTT